CTTGTGTCTGTCTGTGCGACTGTTTCTCTAAGTTTCACAATGTCTGTCTCTCTTTCTCTGTGTGTCTGACTGTGTGTGTCTGTCTCTCTCTCTGCGTCTGTCTCTCGCTCTCTGAACCTGAGTCTTGAGAACTTTTGAAGGTGTTCACATGTCCGAGTGTGTGACATCAACTGTATAATGCAGTATTAGATGCAGAACCCTCAGAAAACGGCCTTCAGCACCAGGGAAATGCAGTTTCACACCCACAACATCAACACAAAAGGGACAGATTTCTATGTTGAAATCCAAATGGTGTTAATAATAGTGTTATCAGATGCATCAGGGAAGACCACTGTGTTAGTTTAACCACAATATTCAAGATTCACCAACCTCCGAAAGAAAGGATTCGGCACCATTTCAATCCGTCTGTGGCTTTAAAATGAGGAAAGACAAGAAGTTAATACGACGGATGTATTTACCTGCAGTGAAAAGTTACAGTACGTAGGAAATAAAACAAGATCATCGGTCGATATAAGATAAAAAATTTGCGATAAAGAAGACAGTTTGCTACAATCTTATATTAGACGAGTTATTCGGAGCAGTTCCATCTCATTTCAATATATGGTCCCGTTTTGGTTCAATCCATTCAATTTTTTTCAGAAAAATCTATCACAAAAGAATATCCAATCACACCAAAGTGAAACAAGACAATTATCAAAATGCCTTTATAATTAATGAGACTGAGGACTAAATGAGACAGAGGACTAAATGAGACAGAGGACTAAATGAGACAGAGGACTAAATGAGACTGAGGACTAAATGAGACAGAGGACTAAATGAGACAGAGGACTAAATGAGACTGAAGACTAAATGAGACAGGACTAAATGAGACAGAGGACTAAATGAGACAGAGGACTAAATGAGACTGAAGACTAAATGAGACAGGACTAAATGAGACAGAGGACTAAATGAGACTGAGGACTAAATGAGACAAAGGACTAAATGAGACAAAGGACTAAATGAGACATCTCCTCTGGCCCCTCCCTAACAAAACAGCCGGCGGTGGCGGACACACACACACACACACACACACACTCCTAAACGCTCGTGCTCTACTCATTAATGTCATTTAAACCCCGCCTTGTTGGATTTGACAGTAGCTCTATTGACTCACGCAGCCTCATGTCGACAGTATTGATTGTTTTGGCCTCTTTAGTTCCATTAAATACTTTGACACGAGGCCTGCACACACTAGACTAGAACAGGTCGGTATAGAGACTTGGACAGTCTCTCCAGTGTGTGTAAGAACAAGCACATGACACTACTGCTGCTGCTCCTGCTGCTAATGCTACTGATGCTACTGCTGCTAACTGGCCCAGAGCAAAAAGTTCATCAAGCTGTCACTTTGTCAATACTTTTAGCTAGATTAGCGCTGGATCGAAAGTAGGTTGGACGCTAACCAACAGTAGAGAATGTAGCGTCATCGCAAAACACCTCATTTCACAGAGAGAAAGAAAGAAAGCGAGATAATTTCAGGTTTATAGAAAAGTGCTGCGTGAGAAGCTAGAGTCTAAAGTTATTCAATGCTTTTTAACACTCCCACAGCAGTCAATTAGACGCCTCCGTGTGTGTGGGTTTAGCTTATTTCTATGGTCATTATTTTTACTTTTGAAATGTGAGGAGCTCCATTTTCTACTCATTTTACACCAGAGAATATCAAGTGCAAGTTACCATAGCGACACACTGTTTAGAAGTTAGCATTAGCATTTTGTTTGCTGTATTTTTCAGTCATAATCAACAGTTTCAGCCATTTATTCAAAGTGGGTAAAGGCAGAAACCTTACAACTTTAATAAATCTGGTGAAAAAATAAAGTCTTATCTTAAAAACTAAACATTAAGTGGAGACATTTTTCAGGATTCCAATGGGTTTGAGTTCATGTCAAAAACTGAAATTAATCTGGAATTAGCAAGACTTGTTCGCATCCATTAACCGGTTTTTTCCCCCTACATTAACTAATTATATTATAATGACCTGGAAGCACTGGTGAGAGGTAGCTGCTTGTTGCTCTCCCTAAAAGCTTAAGATAGAGATTTTATTTTGTATTTTAAGGTATTTAATTGTGCTTTATGCATTTTCTTATCTTGCTCTGTGTGCTCCTCACTCCTACTGTTCTGTAACTTGTGACAAAAGGCTGAAATTTCCCCACTGTGGAACAAATAAAGGATCTCTTCATCTTCATTTCATTTCTTAAAATCATTTGTCATTTCATTTTTAGAATGTGAACCAATACCTTCAGTAGAAAATAGGCTGAAACAAGCGTGAAGGGTGAAAAATGCTCCCTGCCTGTAACCCCCTATGCTGCCACCAGAGGGAGGAGAATTTGATTTTTAGCACTCTGAGGTTTCCCTGAAATGTAAAGTGCATTATAAATAAAATGTATTATTATTATTATTTTTGGCCAAATATTAAAATTACCAGCTTCAAAAGACACATGCGACAGCAAAGAACGTCCATTCGCCTTAGAAATGACCAAAACTAATTTAGGGGCAATACTTTTGTTGTATTGCTCGGAATATGATATCATACTATTACAGGACTTAGACAAAGGGCTTTGAGACAGAAGGGGCGGATCTACACAGGATTGCTAATTAATACATTGAGTCAATACATATTTATTAAGTATAAATATTGAGTTATACAGTATTATGGTATATTTTACATAAATACATGCGTTCTGTTGGATAAAAGTTTCTCTGATTGAAAAAGGTTGTAGACCCTTGGTGATGAATAACAGTTAAAAGTCCAAACCCACAGATAGAAGAACAATACGAAGTCGTTCTCATATGAAGGTTGTCAGTGGAGCTCAACGAAATCAAGTCACTTCTGCACAACCAGCCTTTTGTTTACACTGAAGGGAGGGTTTGTGAGCTCTGCTAGTTCTACTGCTGCTGCTGCTGCTACTAGGCCATGTCATAGCGATAACAACGTACTACTGTGACCAGCAGTAAGCACGTGGATTTGAGTTAGAAAATATGTTGTCCCGGGGCAGGCAACATTAGTCTTTAAAATTGTACGACAAGAACCAGGAAGTACCATCACATTAGTCCAGTTCTCAGGTCTCTGCGTCCTGTGGCTCAGAGAAAAGACTTTAAAGCATACTTTCTGAGACATGTTAGTGCCATATGTACCAACTCTGGGGAGCACAGGGACTGGCCTCCTGTTGGTGCCCGGAGTCGGGAGTAAACACGGGGAGGCGACAGTCTTCCTGAAAATGTGAGACAGGTTTCTACTCTGACTATGTTCAAATCCAGTTCTGTTCAGCTTTGATTTGTATCTTTATTCTAATGTACTCATGTTTTTCTTGTGTTGCTGAGCACTTTTTATAGGGAAAAATATTCATGTTTGAACATTTTTTAAATTTGTTTTATAACCGTTTATTATGCTTCAGTGTCTGTTTGTTCTTGTGGAAATATCATTTTTGTTTATGATTTTGTACATTTTTTGTACATTGTTGTGCAACTAATGTGGTGTAATGTAATGTTTTTCCAATGTGGTTTTAGGCAAAATGAACTATCCCCTGTCTTTCTCAATTCAATGTTGCCATCATAGCATTATTACAATAGTTTCAGGTTTTAATTAGTGAAAATGCTTTCAAATTAACGAGTGGCCAAGTCCGAACCTTAAATTGCTTTAATAATTTGCCATCATGACAAGAGGGCAAGTTTATTTGAATAGCACAGCTCATAGCAATAAGGCATCAGAAGGATAAATAATCACAGTACATTAAAACAAGAGTAAAGATACAAACCTTCAGTTGTTGCAACTAAACAGAACTGTTTTAACCTGGATTTGAACATTTTCAGAGAAGAAGCCTGTCTCACATTTTCAGGAAGACAGATTTTAGCTGCATGAATCTGAAACGTTGCCTCTCTGTTTAGTCCTGACGCTGGGACCAGCAGGAGGCTAGTCCCTGTGCTCCTCAGAGAATCCCAGCAGGAGGACAGTCCCTGTGCTCCTCAGAATCCCAGCAGGAGGCCAGTCCCTGTGCTCCTCAGAATCCCAGCAGGAGGCCAGTCCCTGTGCTCCTCAGAATCCCAGCAGGAGGCCAGTCCCTGTGCTCCTCAGAATCCCAGCAGGAGGCCAGTCCCTGTGCTCCTCAGAATCCCAGCAGGAGGACAGTCCCTGTGCTCCTCAGAATCCCAGCAGGAGGACAGTCCCTGTGCTCCTCAGAATCCCAGCAGGAGGACAGTCCCTGTGCTCCTCAGAATCCCAGCAGGACAGTCCCTGTGCTCCTCAGATCCCAGCAGGAGGACAGTCCCTGTGCTCCTCAGAATCCCAGCAGGAGGACAGTCCCTGTGCTCCTCAGATCCCAGCAGGAGGACAGTCCCTGTGCTCCTCAGAATCCCAGCAGGAGGACAGTCCCTGTGCTCCTCAGAATCCCAGCAGGAGGACAGTCCCTGTGCTCCTCAGAATCCCAGCAGGAGGACAGTCCCTGTGCTCCTCAGAGAATCCCAGCAGGAGGACAGTCCCTGTGCTCCTCAGAATCCCAGCAGGAGGACAGTCCCTGTGCTCCTCAGAGAATCCCAGCAGGAGGACAGTCCCTGTGCTCCTCAGAGAATCCCAGCAGGAGGACAGTCCCTGTGCTCCTCAGAATCCCAGCAGTCCCTTGCTTCATATGGCACTAACTACTTGATTCAGATAGTTGTACTAATAGTTTTTTTAACATGTCCTGGCCACATATACACATGTCTACCTCTCCAAGTTTATTTGTTGTTGTCAGGACTTAATATTTAGTCATTTTAAAGTGTTTTTTTTTGTTTTTTTTTGCATTAGCTTTGTAAAAGAACGCTCTAATTCCCAGTCATCTCCCAATTGTCTCCACTCCAGCTGCTGCACAAACACAGCCCTGCTCCTCACACACTCGTTTGCAGCTCTCCTCTCCACTTTGCTGTCACCATCACGAAAAACACAACATGCAAAAAACATGCACACAGCTTTAACACACACAAAACTTTCTTACCAGTCGTGTGATCCACTGGTCCCGTCTCGCTCACCAACATCCCATGCAAGCGTGAGTTTACCGTCTGCAAAGCGCTGCAAAACTCCGAGAAATAGTCCCTCTCTTTCCGTAGCAGTATCTTCAAAAGCAGATCCACTTTCTCCGAGTTGGACGTGCAATTGTGGCCGATCTCGAAGCCCTCGGACTGGGACAGAGCCTCGGACTGAACCAGGGTGTCCACCAGGCGATCTGCATCCGAGATATCCTCCACGAAGTTCGGGTAAAATTTCTCCAGCAACTCCTTGTGCTTTGCCTGCATGGTGGCGTGATTTGCGTCGACTTTAGCGGCAAAACACACGGGTAAATCCAACCTGCGACCACATAAATTGCTGCTGTTTACAGAGATAGCAGACTGACAGTGATTACGAGCCCGGATTGCAAAGGCGACCCAAGCGAAGATCCGTAAGAAGTAATAGTAGCCATGTTTGTTTGCCCAAGATCGCGACACACATGTAGCACTTTTTCGCCTCTTTCCCAGCGGATAGCACGCCTCTTCCCGGGATACATCCACTCGGTTAGGTCCGTGGAAGCATCGCGAAGGGGGAAAGCAACTTCTGCCCGGCGAGTGGTTAAGTTTGAGGGTAGTTTGGGAGCCGTTTCTGCGGGCGGCGGAGGGCTGGCTCTGGGTCCATGGTTCACTCTCACACAGTGGAAGCAGCTGGGAAGGGGATGAGCCAATCACAGCGCGGGACCGGGTTTTAAGGCGAGGGGGCGGGGCTAGTGTGACGCAAGGTTCACCTGGATTCACGCAGACGTACAGGTAGACGCGCACAGTTACATGTCACGGTAAACGTGAAGGTAAACTTTACGCAGTCAGAATTTAGTTGGTTTTTTGTTATTCTGTTTTTTTCTATCTTCTGAGAGATTTTGGCGCTTTATAACTTTTAAACGCTTTCATTAATTTTCACATGTGACACCTCGTTTTGTTCGGTTTTTATCGTCCAATGGGGACTACTTTATTTGGTGCATGTATCTTTTGTCATATTTGACATGTTCTTACTTGAAGTTGTACTTTTCTTCATCTTTTAAAATGACTTTTTATCGTCTTGATTTTTTTAATGTTTTTAATGTTATTGATCTTTTTAGAGTAATGTTGTACTTTGTTTTTGTTTATTGTCTGCATAAGGGTGTAATATGAGTGTAATAGTGTTATAATGTCCAGTTCTGTTTAGCTGCGCATACAACTGAAGGATTGTCTCTTTTTAATGTTAAACTCATACAATGTGTATGAGTTTAATGCCTTGTATGATTTTTGTTCTATCTTCAGAATCAGAATATTTTTATTGTCCTTGTGAGTAACAAACTTGGAAATTGCTTTGGCTCTCGGTGCAAACAAGTTATAAGGAAACATTAGAGAAAGGTAAATAAATAAATCTACGACGTTTCTTAAAATTACTACTATGTACAGTGTAAATACAACAAAACTATCTTGTTTTGCCTTGTGTATAAACTGTGCTATACTTATAACTTTCATTCCTACATGCATTACATTTTTGAGTTACTACAAAAATAAACAGTCACTAAAGAGATATAAAGATTGACAGATGGATAATTTACTGGTTACTACCAAAATTACATTTGTTTTCCTATAGTTATCCACAATTTCAAACAAATATTCTATCTATTTGACTGATAACATGTTTTTTTACCATGCTAACAGCCTTAATACATTTGTATGGGAGTCTTATGGTTTCTGGTAGAGCCCACTCAATGTAAAAGCATTCTCAAGTTCCAAAGAAAGTTCAGATTCCAATGACCTCGGTCTCGCCCTGTTTTTTGTTTCAGATGCAACAAGGAGATTCAAACTAATGGACTTATTAATATATTTATTTCTGGAACACTCTCTTGCTGCACCTCTGCTCCCCTGACGCTCTCTGTTTCTTTCTGCTCCACATCACCTCACAGACATCTGCAAAGACACGAAAGATTTCATATGTTCTATCTGTGAGGGGTAAGATGCAGAGACCAGAGAGAGACCAGAGAGAGAGACCAGAGAGAGAGGCCAGAGAGAGAACAGAGGGAGAGACCAGAGAGAGACCAGAGAGAGAGGCAGAGAGAAAGGCCAGAGAGAGAACAGAGAGAGAGACCAGAGAGAGAGGCCAGAGAGAGAACAGAGGGAGAGCCCAGAGAGAGAGAGAGAGACCAGAGAGAGAGAGAGAGAGACCAGAGGGAGAGCAGAGGGATACAAAAGAGGGAGAGACCAGAGAGAGTCCAGAGAGAGAGGCCAGAGAGAGAACAGAGGGATACAACAGAGGGAGAGACCAGAGAGAGTCCAGAGAGAGAGAGACCCAAGAGAGAGACCAGAGAGACCAGAGAGAGACCGACCAGAGAGGCCAGAGAGAGACAAGAGACAGAGACCAGAGGGTGAGGCCAGAGAGAGAGAAAGACTTCTTCAGTTTGTGTGCAGTAACATTTTTAGTACCTTTATACCTTTTCTACACGACTACATAATAACGTCCCTACATTATTTCACCTTTAAATTAATTCATATTTTGGTTTCCTTTATATGGGCATAAGTGATGTGTGTACATGTTGAGGAAAATTAGCTTGATACTCTGCCCACGACGACAAAGGCAACTCTATCTGTCATAATCTTTGTGTTTTTTCTCAAAGGAAGAAAATGGATGGATGAATATAATAATGATAAAGAAAGAGAGTGTGTTGATGGTTATGTAACGAGTTGGTCTCTCTGACTGCACACTGCCCAGGAGACAAGTACAGAGAGACTTTAACAGGAAGAAAAGTGGCGGAAAGTGACTCCAGGCCAAACGTACCTTTGTCTGTTTCTAATTTACAAGACGAGCTGCACAGAACTGTGTATAAAGGGTTTAACTTACTTCTAATCAGGAGTATATGCAGTAACAGTACATGAATGACACAGTATTTGCTATAGCTACACACCTTTTTATATACTGTATATGTGTACATACTGTATATAGACATGTTTCCATCTGCTTTTCCCTACTCTATCCTACCCTACCCTACCCTACTCTATTTTATTCTACCATACCCCACTTCACTTTACCCTACCCTACTCTACTCTACTCTACTCTACTCTACTCTACCCTACTCTACTCTACCCTACTCTACTCTACTCTACCCTACTCTACCCTACCCTACCCTACTCTACCCTACTCTACCCTACCCTACCCTACCCTACTCTACTCTACTCTACTCTACTCTACTCTACTCTACTCTACTCTACTCTACTCTACTCTACTCTACTCTACTCTACTCTACTCTACTCTACTCTACCCTACTCTACTCTACTCTACTCTACCCTACTCTACCCTACCCTACCCTACTCTACCCTACCCTACCCTACCCTACTCTACTCTACTCTACTCTACTCTACTCTACTCTACTCTACTCTACTCTACTCTACTCTACTCTACTCTACTCTACTCTACTCTACTCTACTCTACTCTACTCTACTCTACTCTACTCTACTCTACTCTACTCTACTCTACCCTTACTCTACTCTACTCTACTCTACTCTATTTTATCCTTCCCTACCTGGTTGCGTTACCATTACGTTTGACCTTTAGTATCTGGTAAAGTATTCTGTAAACGTACCCAGGACAATATCACATCCAAAGTACTTTCTGTATTCAATTAAGTCAATTAAAGCACAACCATAGTTACCTCTGATGACTTTACAAAGCTGTCGATTCGCCAACAACAGATCAGAGAATCAAACAGTTCAAACACAGGAAATGCGATCATAACAAACGCATAGAGCCATTGGTCCATAAGAGGCAGATACTGTAGATAGATACTTTATTGATCCCCGGAAGGAGAAATTCAGGATGACCAATGTCCATCAATGTCGAGTGTCCTGGATCATTACTACTGTCCTTAGACCCTCCATCATACCCTTAATCTATACTTCTTTTTTTTTTTTAAAGACACATTTCTCAACCCAAAATCTCCCATTGTTCTGCAAGATCTTCAGGCTATATTCCCATCTTCTCCTGAACTGTAGTGGGTTAGCAGTGCTCCTATTTTTATCCTCTATCCTTTCCCTTTTAAACCTCTTTGGTATCGGCCACATGCACAGTGTGTGTAGCATGAGGGCGGTTGGGGCTGGGTCATTTGGTAAAACAGCCGCTCTCACATCTCATTACGTGGCCACCCTCTAAGCCCGCCATTTGTAATTTGCTTATGCGCACTCATGAAGTTTAAAGCAGGATTAGTGATCTGGCAACCAAATGTCACTTAAACAGTGCATGAGAAAATCCAGCGCAAATTGAAATCGGTAAATCAGTCTCTATACTTAGACTGATTGTACAGGAGCGAGTATTTAAGGACAAGATGTATAGAGAGGCATAGAAATATTATTGTGTTATAGTGTATAGTATTGTCGGATTAGAGGATTTGGAGGAAAAAAGGATTTCAAATATGACTGTAATCATTGTTTACATAAGAGACTGGGATCAAAACAATATATTTACCACACTGTTGTGACCCAGTTTTATGCGTTTGAATTCATATGAGAGAATATTCTTGCACAGCGCTGTGGTATCGTCCACGTATCACAGATTTACAAAAGGAAAATTGTCAAAAATGATAGATTTTGTCTCAACAGAAAGTGTACGATGCTGTGAGAAAAACAGACCACAAAGAGCAGAGAGAGAGAGTCCAGAGAGAGGCCAAAGAAACCAGAGAGAGTGAGAGGCCAGTGAGAGAGAACAGTGTGAGACCAGAGAGAGAGAGAGAGAGAGAGAGAGAACAGTGTGAGACCAGAGAGAGAGAGCAAGAGAACAGTGTGAGACCAGAGAGAGAGAGAGCAAGAGAACAGTGTGAGACCAGAGAGCGAGAGAGAGAACAGTGTGAGACCAGAGAGCGAGAGCGAGAACAGTGTGAGACCAGAGAACGAGAGAGAGATCAGAAAGAGAAACCAGAGAGTGAGATAACAGAGAGAACAGTGTGAGACCAGAGAGAGAGAGAGAACAGTGTGAGACCAGAGAGCGAGAGCGAGAGATCCGAAAGAGAAACCAGAGAGAGTGAGATACCAGAGAGAGAGAACAGTGTGAGACCAGAGAGAGAGAGAGAGAGAGAATAGTGTGAGACCAGAGAGAGAGAGAGAGAGAGAGAACAGTGTGAGACCAGAGAGAGAGAGAGAGAGTGAGAACAGTGTGAGACCAGAGAGAGTGAGAGAGAGAACAGTGTGAGACCAGAGAGAGAGAGAGAGAGAGAGAGATAGTGAACAGTGTGAGACCAGAGAGAGAGAGAACAGTGTGAGACCAGAGATAGAGA